GACAGAGCTTCTATGGTATATTGGTCGACTTTATGGTTGACCGGAGATGGGAGAAATGGTAGATTGTGTTGCGCTCCCAATTGGGGCACGGTAACGAGGGTCTTGGAAAATATCAAACGGTGACATCTACCAGGTGGGACAAGGGTAGTACCGGGATTGGTGATAGTTCTTAAGCTCGGGTGTTTTTCCGATCATGGGTCAGATGGGGTGAGCGTATAACTACGGGTGGACTTGTAGTGAGTTGTGAACGGCCGGTAGTGATTGAATATGCGTTGGAAAGAGATTGAACGGTCGAGAGGCATGTCTGACGCGGAGGTACTGAGATAATGGTAGCGTGGTTGTTAATGGACAGGCTTCTAGGGGTTATCAAAAAATCTGCTTAGAGTGCGAGGGGGGCAAATAACGAGGAGGCGGTCGGGCCGAGGGGGGGGCGTTGTTTTGTTTGTTTGTTGGTTTGTGCGGCGTGGGCCGCGGGCGCGGCGGCCAGTTCGGCCAGGCCGGGGCCAGGGTGAGCGGAGGGGGCCGGGGCCGGGGCTATCGGAGGAGCAGCCGGGGGCCTACGGGCCAGCCCAAGGCGGCGGCGGGACAGCTGGGAAAGTGAGCCGGGAGGCGGAAAGGGCCACCAATGGGCCGGCACGGCCAAGAGCGGACAACTCGGAAGGCCGGCAAAGAGGCATGTGGACACGCAGGCGGCTGGACACACGCGCCGGGGGAAGCACGCGACCAAGAACGCGGGGGCGCGACGCCCGACAGGTCGCGCTCAGCCCCGGGGGCGCAGCGGGGTCCACGGCCGCGCCGCAAAAGTGGACCGGCAAGGAGCAAGGCAGTGCAAGAAGGAAAAGAAGGCGCAGCGGAGGGAGGTCATGAGCACCTGGCGAGATGGGAGGGATAGGGGTCGAAATTAGCAACGTAATCACCGATATCCCGCGGAATAGTCCGTTTTCCTTGTGTTGGATACCATCAGATTTCAATGCTTGGAGCCCACCGGGATACGCACAAAAAAACACGACAAATCGGATATCGTGGTTGTTGAGCATCTTTATGCGATCTGAGAGGCAATACGTGCTGCAGTGTACCTGTCTGTGCAGGTATTATGATTGTTTTCATATAAATTATTTATTAAGAATTTTCAAATGCTATTATTGGATATTTCAAGATTTTTGGTACCAACATTGTTCAACTTACTATCCAAGATGGCATACTCAGATCTTTTGGGGCGGGGGGGATACAGATTTCAATACCTGTATCCCGAATGGATACCATAATAACATCTAATTATCGACCCCTGAGATATCCATACGTATCTCTTCTAGTCCTTCTACATTTTTTATCATACCGGCAATTCCTGCACGCAATAAACGGCGCTTGAAACGGAATAAGGAACACTCTAGATTTGTGCTTTGTAAAGATGTTTGACAGAGGAAATACAACAGAGATAAGACACGCAGAATAAGAGGAATGGTGTGTTGGAGGTAATTGGGCAATGGCTGTTCATATGACACGAGGCCCGGCTGGAGAATGAACGATTTTAAGAAACATTTAAAGGTTTTTTCCTTTTCAGTCTTTTTATCGATGGCAACATCCAGGTGTGACGCGGAGAATTTTGGTGCGAATTGTCAGAACGCTGCGGGCGAAAATTTTGCCTTTCACACCTCATCTGTGGCAACTTGACGAAATATCCAAAATATACTTTTTTGCATCCAAAATCCACAAAGATATTGTTATGATCCAGCAGTTAGGTGCTGGAAGTTTTACGAAATTTTTTGGGCTTGAGCATTATTATGAGATACATCTCGATCTATAGATTTAAACATGTGTGATTGATTACGATTCATTGGTCAATAGAAACGATGTTTACGCTCTTCATTAGAGCCAGACAGCCGGCATGCATAAAGGTGGAGTATCTTAAAAAGTATTTGAAGATTAGGTCTTCGTTAGGGTTACTTCTGAGCGAATACTCCTCTCGCTTTTTAGCACTTCTTCTGTTGATAAGAAGAATCGCGTGCAATCTGATTGCTTGATCTTTGAAGTCAGGAAGCTGCGAGAGAGTGAAATAAACTGATGTTATATGATCTACTATATGGTTGCTTCGTTCAAGTAAAAAGCACTAGATAGATCCAGTCACACCAACTATTTCTGTAAAAACCTTGAAACAGTAAATTCAGAGGGTAGCACAAAGTTTTTCTTTTCCCAAACAATCTTGTCGGTAACATATTGGTTTGCTATATCAACTATTGTTTTTTAACTCACGTTCCACGCGGAACACGAGTATACCCTCGTTGACACCTGCCAAAAGCGCGCAACGGAGCCCGGCGAAACAGCAAATATATCGCGCGTCAAATTAGTAGCCCCATATCTCTCGACTTCTCTTTGCTCTAAAAGGCATTTGAGGCATATGTCTACTCCTTTCTGGTTATAAACCATCTTCGATAGCGCATATATCCTGTCCATCATCAACATGGGTTTCGGCCAGCGGGTTTTGCTACAGTTTACCAGTTTAATCACGTTTTTTCATGACTTGGACACTAAGTCTTGACAACGTCTAGCAGGTTGATGCAGTATCCCTGGATTTTAGTAAGGCCTTTGACTAGGGTTCCTCATGACCTTTTAATATCTTCAACTTGTCACCCTTGGCGTTTTTGATACTACTACGTTAAAATGGATTCTGACTTTTTTATATTAAGTTGTCTGTGTTAACGGCAGCATGTCGGGATTGTGCGCTGTCACATCGGGTATACCCCAGTTCAGTGCTTGGTCCACTGCTTGTTCTTATCTTTATAAATGATTTGTTTGCGCAAGGAAAGCTGACCCTTCTAACTTCTTAATTGCGCGCTGCTTTGGGTTGAGCGACCTGCTGTTACTGTACGCCACATCCTACATAAGCAGTGACCAGTTAGCCCTCCAGAGGGTCTTACTCGTACTGAGCAAGTGGGACTCCTGGGGCTTATGGTCATTCAGTGCAGACAAAAGTGGTAAAATTCTTCGCATTCCTGCTCCCAAATGCACCCTTGACTTTTACTTACCTCGTTGTATTATACATATCTCTATATAATCTCTTACCCCTACTTACAAATAGTTTGGCGTGTTAATTATTAGTAACCGATGCTTCGCTGATGCGCCACATCTGACTAGCCATTTGTAAAGAAAGCGTCCCGATCTTTCGGCATGCTACGCGCGTACATCTTAGCTTTGGCTGACTCTAAAACTCGGTCCCTAGCTTTCAACCACTATGGTTGCTGCCCATTTAGATATATGCTTCGCGCAGCCTGGTTTCCCCTATCAGACTTCAGAACTGCTCTAGATTCGGACCACGAGGCCCCCCAGGGGCCACTGGCCCCCTCACCCATTCTAAGCATAACGCTGCGAGACTGGGTTCTCCAGCAAACTATGATGATAGTACTCGAAGTTGTTTTGGCTCGTCTTGAATGGCCTCCCCCTTCGTGTCCGCTTTCTTACACGCCTCAAAACTCATAACTTTCTCTAAAATTTTATCATCGGTGAGATGAAAACTGCATTCCTTTCTTGCTTTTAATGAGCCTGTTCGGGCTGCACACGCGTCATCTGAGGTGATCTACTGTTTTCGGCATGTACAAACTTCTCAAGCGATCCCTTTAAGTTTACGCTTCTTTGTCTCTGTGATTCCGTATTGGAATTCACTGCCTTCATCTTGCTAAATAGGCATAATTGCAACTTTTTCCGCTGGCGCATCGGCAGTGTGGATCTACCCGACTTGATTCGGCACCTCTCTCTATGCTCGTTATAGTTCTCCAGGACTTTTGAAAGATGATCACTTATTCAGAGGCTTATGAGGTTATGAGCGTTATATACTCGCGTCGCAAAAAAAAAAAAAAAAGTTTTCCTACTAGATGGCGGGTGGTACGCTTACAAATCTCAAGCCAGCGGTCACTGTACAACCCCAGTAGTAGATGACCATAATTTATTACAATACTTTAGTGTTTGTTTGGAATGTTTTTTTGGGACTGGGTTGGAGGCTGGGAAGGTTTTGGAACGTTTTTGGGAAGCTGTTGTTTGGAAGTTTTGGGACTGAGCGTAATGTTTTTCGTTCACGGGGCCAAAGGGCGTTCTGACGCGCACGGGTTGTTGTAAAAGTTGTTTTGATGTCTGAGAGTGTATTCTGATTTGATGTGAACACGGGTGATTAATTCACGGGTGTTGTTTTGATGTCTGAGAGTAAGTTTATATCATATTATACTAGCCACATAATTTATAAATAATTTTAATAGCTAAGTTAAACGCTGCCCAAACACATTTTGTGTAATCAGTGACTTAAGCGCGGGAAAACGAGCGAAACATCTCAGTAGCCAGGCGGTAGGTGCATGTTTAAGAGGCACTGCAGCCCAGTATCAACGCACGTTGTTAACAAACAAATAAAACGCCCAGAGCTGGTCGAAAGCTATAGCTACACCACATTCATCAGATCAAACAGAAAGCAAATGGATTGCTAGTGATTTCAAGCCGTCTGCAATACAATTCACAAATTTAAAAATAAAATAAAATAAATTCCGTCACTCAAATTGTTTAACAAGCTGCCAGCAGAGTGCAGCGCTCACTGTACCGTGTACTGTACGCGCCCGGATTATTCCTTTCTGATAAATACTGGCAACGCTGAATCAGTGGCGCCTCCAACTGCCGGCTCACCCCACCCCTCCACAACACAAGCCCCAGCGTTCGCGCTCAGCCAACGCATATATCTAGGACTACATCAATAACCAGCATCTAAAATCTATAGATTAACGCTTTGCTAATACCGGTAGTCCAGGGACGATAATCAAAGATACCAAGCCTGTGATAACTATTAAATGACTTTCCGCTATATTAACATGTGTATCCATGGCTATGTGTCCGAGGCGCAGGCGTTAGTGGTGAAGGAGGCGGGCAGGCTCGAGGGGGCTCTAATAGCAAAAGCAGTTCAGCCCGCTTTGTTCAACCAGTAATATAGTCTACACCCTGCCTCTTGAGGTCAAAACGGTTATCAGACCTTACTCTTCGTACGTCAGGCCGAAGTACATTTCCATGGTCTTTTCAATAAAGTGATAACAATGGTAGGCTCAGCGCCTGAAACAAAAAGTTTTGCCACTTCGGTCCGCGTTAGACAATGTCCTCAGAAAATTCTTGATATCTAAGCCTTTCGCCACTGCCCTTTTGACCTGTGAACCTCCACATTTCCGTGCTGGTGATGGGTTCTCCGCCCATCACACTATACATCAAATTATTAAGCAGTTGTAGGTCCAAGCTGTTGAGATTTGTGCCGTGCAATTCCGTATTTCGCTCCTATACCTTAAGTTTAAGGGGTGAAATGTTGCCCCTCCATTGAACCCAGACCTCTTGACCTTTGACATGCCGTGCACCCGCCCGCAAATTTCAAAAATGCCGAGTCTTTTTCGCACTCGTCCCAACGTCCCAAAAAATCAAGACCAGTACGTCGAGCGGTTAAGATTTTGCTGCCATAACTGCAAGTTAGTTCTAAAAGTGCTTAGCACTGGCCAGTTAACCGTTCCAACGCCTCGGCCTGTTTCAACAATCGCCCACCTACCCGCCCTGTGCTTGAGATTTTCGCGCCGTTCTCCTTACCCCGCGCGCTCTAGCTCCTACTCTCCAAGATGTTTTTGGCAGGTTTAACTACCTATAAAATTATTTCTAATTAGTGGCTAGTATACCATATAGATAAACTCAAACTTAGCTCTCAGAGCATAAAACAACACCGGAATCTATCACCCGTCGATCTATCAACTCAATACAGCAACTTTCAGACATAAAAACAACGTTTCACAACACACGGGCGGTCAACGGCCCTTGGCGAGGTGAACTAAAAACATTACCGATGCAGTCCCAAAAACTCCCAAGACTAACGTTGCCCAAACAACAGTAAAGTATTGTATAAATTATGTCATCTCCTAATGGGGGTTGCATACAGTGACGGGCTGTTGAATTGCTAAGCCGCACTAATAGCGCCGCCTACGCATCTATAGGAGAACATCAGTAAAGCATTTCCAATTTTTTCTTTTTGCAGTTTTGCAGGTTCGAACGAGTATCTCATGTTTCCGCGTTGACCCAGTGTTTAAAGAAACAAATTAATATTCACTCGATATTTATCTTAGCCTCACGAGGAAATCAGGAACCACAAGATTAATTGAATATGTATCACTGTGAATACACCAGTAAATTATATAAACCGTGTCCTGTTAGGTCCATTACCATGTGCAAACGCGGCTACAATTGCTGCACATCTAATATTGATGCGAGTGTCTTACCTGTACATTTCTCTTACTGATAGACTTAGTCTTCTCCCTCTCTGTGAAATAAACATTCAAAAGTAATGATTACATCCATAACGCTTTAAAATTCCCATAAGCATTTTGCAATCGTATAACCCTGCGTGTTTTACTTTTTTCAGGGCATAAAATGTCATTTAAAGCCTTTACTTTTCGATGATTATCTAGTGTTTTCCCCACTTTTTATGAATACTCGTACCCATTATTGGCTTGAGTAACAGGCACTCTGCTCTAGCAGTAACGAATAAAATGTATTAGAACGCTTCGTATTCACCAAAAGCATCGCAAGTTCGATTACCAGCGCGCCCTTTTCTTCGTAATGCTGCTGGATCAGTTAGTAGGCGCTAGCTAATTTTGCTACGCTATCGGCCCTCAGACTTACACGTCTCCTCGCCACCAATCCCTGGTTCGCACTCGGCAATTACCAAGTTTAACACATTCTGCACAGACTATTCTCGGCGGCACCGAAACAATATGCAGTCCCGCCCTCGCCTACCACGTGTTTCATATCGAATTTTCTAATGTTATAAAATTCTGCTTAAAAATCGTGTGTTTTTTCAAGGTAGTGTAATCACCGATATATCCGCTTGTGAGCGATGAGATAATATTCTTGAATCTTTCTCTTTTTTCCGCCGATCGAGTGTTTCTGACCAAAAATTTCGTTATAAAGACTTTAATGCTGCTAGGATGCATGAATATGAAAATCCCCTATTGATTACTTTAATAACAGGGAACATGAAGGCAATGGAACAAACGCTTTTCTGAAGTTAAAGAAATTCGAAGAGCATGGAAATTTAAAGTAACCTTATGAAATACACAGCGAAACTGCACAGGAACAGCGACCCCAACACAATACCTTCACCCCGCAACCGGCACCCCACGTACAAATCCACAACCATCGACAAACATTCATGTAAACCAGCACCGATCTACCCACCATGCACCACACCACTAAAACCAACGCCAAACTAAATTCATCCAAACACATTTATTATTTTCATTCAGGGTAAGTTGTCTGTTCGTTGTTCGCTTGTTCTTCGTCCCGGGACGCAACGCTTGGTGTAACTTAGTGGGTCTGATCTGTATACCGTAACATATCAACGTCTTGGTATTTCACAACAAAAAGGTTATAACGTTCCTGTATTAAGAATAATATTGTTTGATTTGCGACTTTCTGCGAATGTTTTGTTGCTGTTTAATCACTGTCGACCGATCGAAGGCGGCTTGTTGGTTTGCACCATTTGGCACTCACTGTAAAACTTACGAATCTGTCTTTGTCAGATAGATTATTAGACTATGTTGTATGTTTACACACGCTATCACAGTGCGCTGTCCGTGGAGTTACTTCTTATATAACTTAAGGATTCTAGAACAAGACATCTCAAAGCACCTGCTCACAGTTGTCACCCTACGAATTTAACTAACATCGCGTAGCTACTTTATAAGCCTGTTTTTAGCATAGCGACTCAGCAGAAAGACACTTTGACGTCCGACTATGAAGGTGAACTAATCACACGCTCGCTAGGGATTTACGCCGACTTTAGATCGTGAGCGTTCTGGCAGGAAACCGTAAAGACAGAGGTTTCGAGGCCCAACAGTATATTATGTACACTAGCACAAAAAAGATATATCTTTAAGTAAGGGACTAAACCAAGCCATCGTCTTGACCGCCAGCGACCCAGCTGGGACCTATCATAAAAAGCCAGACCGTCACAATTGACCAACACAATATGAGTGCCTATACCAGTACACCATCAGGCTTAAACACTTCTGTAAGGAATACTATACCTCAATTTTCCCTACAGATTATTACATCGTTTAATACACCTTTCATTTAAATGCGCCAAGTAAAAAAAAATTGAGACTGTGATGGATCCCGGAAAACTTTAATTATACATAGGATTATGAGAACAGGGTCGGTTGGTGCGCATACATAATCCACTCCATTGCATCACGCGTGCTAGTGTAGGTTGTTCCTTATTCGTGTCTAATCAGTCGATGTCTTGCTAATGATAGTGATTCGACTTTACGCTTTAGTGGTGTTATTCGCATGGCCACAGGGCCAAAACGAGTGGGTTGGCTCGCCGACCGTTTCGCAACAGAAAATACGTAACTGTTTGTCTTAATATACCTTGCGCGGATGGCACGTCCGGATTGCGGCGAACCGATTCTCTCGCTGGATTTTCAGATCGTAAAGCACGGAACTCTATAGGTCTGAGGGTTGATCGGCCGATGTTTTTATACCGAGCGTCACTTTGACGCGGTTGCTTTGACGTAGGCGTATCTTACAAATTCTCTTCTGTCGGACGACGTGAGGTCGATATACGCGGCGAGCAGGATTGAGTTAAGCCTTAAGTAAGGCCAGAAGGCGGCGCTTGGATAAACTATTTTACGTGAGGGAACTTACTTATTGCACTTTGGTCTATTTTACTAAGGGTTTAGAACATTGCACGGCGAGCGAGCGGGTTGTCGATATACTTATTCGATAAAGTTTACGAATTCAATTATTTAAGTCTAATGTTCTTAAAATTGCTTAAGAAGAAAAGTTTAATTGACGTTGACAGATTAACCTGGATCGTCAAAACTAAATCTGTACCTTAAGGGTGAAAACTCACGAATAACAGCGCATACTCTCCATAATTTTATAGTCACGAACGGCTGCTGATTGAGATCTGAGAATCCGATCACAAAAGGTTCATTAAATTGCATAATCACATTATATTTGATACAATCGAGCTTAGTAAGTTTAATGAATATTATGATGGAGCTAACCCACATATATACTTAATAATTTGAATGTAAAATGACGTGGTCCATCGACCAGTTATATAATACTGGACAAACAAGGACAATTATTCTCACGTTTGTACACGATGACCGCGAGAGTTTTAAGCAGTTGAGAACAACATGCATATTCTACCCTCATTTCGTCAGATAGTATTAGTTTTGTTTTATTAAGCGCTAGAATAATATAGTGATTATTACAACGCTGGTATTTTCACAGAAAAACAGCACATTATTACATTATTATTATAAATATAATATTTTAATTTCAAGGTAGTTAATGTAGTAGATGTAATGATAAGTCTTATTTTTCAAAACTGTACGTCTTACACTGGCTTTTATAGGGTTTAAGGGTCTATTTGCATTACTTATTAGTTAAAGATAGATTAAGCTTTTACCGTATTGTAAGGCAGGATTTTCTGTCTATTCTTCTTTAACTTTTATTGAAGTCTTTCATCGTCAAATGAGACTCACGGTAAAGGGAAAGACAAAGATAGGTAATTGTTATTAAGACTAGTATGTATTACCAGACGCTAATAGTTGTAATTGCTTTTGGTTACAACGGGCGACCAGGGTCAAGAAAGTCTATAGCGCTCCGTACAACTCTAACTTGCAAACGCCCAACCCCCCGCCAGACTAGCCGCTACAGACGGTCCCTATCAGCGCTCCATTCTGGCCAGTACCTCCAGTGCGCACATCGTCAGCACTCTCGTAAGTTCTGGTACCGGGTAGCGAAGGAGGGCCAGTGCCTAGTGGCATACTGATGGGGTGGGACAGGGGAAAGGGCGCTTCACATCCCCTCCACCCTGTAACACCCTCTCTCGCCCTCTCCGTCCTTCTGGGCTCCTATGTGCGATCAAGATGACTATAATCCCCTCCACGGGTACACCCAGTTTTTTTCTACTACCATTTCTTCATCGGGGTCGTGTCACTCCCTCTCTCACGCATCGCGAGCCTTCTTCACTCATCTTCAATCCATATGGCTCTCTCGCCATCCCAGGCTTCTCCGCCTCCTCGCTCAGCTCTCTCCTCCTCCCCCTCTTCCTCCTTCCTCCCAGCTTGCTCCCCTTCCTCCTCCTTCTCCACCAGCTTCTCCCCCTCCTCTTTCTCCACCAGCTTCTCCCCCTCCTCCTTCTCCAGCAGCTTCTCTTCCTCCTCCACCACCTTCTCCCCTTCCTCCTCCACCAGCAATTAATTTGCAAGTTAATTTACGATGCTAAACCTGATGTTTACCCTTATACTTATAGTAATAGGCCTAGTACTGATCAGTAATACTATGAATCATGATACTGATACTGATGTGATGATATTGATACTGATATATATAGTGATAGTGATACTGATGCAGTGATAGTGATACTGATAGTGATACACAGTTACACTGATTAGTGATAGTCTAGACTAGAGCCTAGAGGACTTACTTTCTCTGAGATTTTTTTTGAAATTTGGGTCACTCCGTCGTTTTCTGTCAAAATAGATACAATAACCAACGAAGAGAGTTCCAGCAACTCCTGCGGCTATACTAACAGCTTTACTGGATACCATTTTTAGCAATAAAAACTAAATTGATTTGGAAAGTCGTGCATTAACATGGACCGGAAATGTTGTCGCGCACTCAAGAGGTAGTTCAGCCGCACATCCGCTGCATTGCGCATGGGATATTTACTCGTACCATCGTGTGCGTCCGAGTGCCTTTTCGGGAAACATCGGGAAAGTCCGTAATACGTTTATTCGAGTTGGTTAGGACCACAATAGACTAAGAATATCTAAGACTGTCTACCGTTAATCTATAACTAGATATTCCTAAGGCTAATCTACGGAAACACTGAGCTATATATAATAATTGTCATTATACACAGCTCAGTTGTCAGAAATCGGCTGTTTTAAACGCACGCTAGCGCACACGCACACGCGGAGTTACTAGAGTAGAGGACAGAAGTTTCTACATGAAGCACTAAAACGACCAAACTAAGAAAGCCTACAGCGCCCCATACCCTTTCCTTCGCTAGCGAATTAAAAAAAAAACGGTGTTTAGGGCGTAACATAACAAAATAGCCTAAAAACCACAGCACAACAACATGATGCTATAATGCGATGCGATTCGATCAATGCGACAATGCGATAATGCGCACGCGCGCGCGCGCGAATGCGTTCGTCGGTGAGTTTGCGCGCGCTCGGCGTTTAACCTATCTTTTAACCTATGCGCGCGCTATCGCCTGTGTGCGTGTGTGCGCCTGTGTTCAATTCGTTGCTACAAAGAACGTTAAAATTTCTAAATAAACACAAAACAATAACAGCTCAGTAGTAAGGCCTACAACTTTATTTCGACTCGGCTTGTCTGGCTTCATTATAAACGAATGCGCAATAAAACAATCATTTGTCGAGTAATGAAGAAAGCAAATTTAAATATATTCTTGCATATAATTTCAAATCCACCTAGATTCCATGGGGGGGGGTATTTTCGGAACGCGGGATTCGGCGTTTTTCGGCTATTTTAAGTAGGGAACCATGGAAACCAGGAAATACAAAAAATTGTGATTTGTAAATAAAAGTCATTGTAAATAAAAGTCAACCAGGGCGTGGGAAAGCCTATATTGCGATTTTTATTAATTGGAAAATAAGGAAATGATAAGTTTTACCTGGTAAACTGGGAGTGAACCATGCATCAGGTTTCCCGTAGACGATGTTTGCAGAATATTCATAATGATAATTAAGTGTCGTGTTGCGTCGTTAACATCTTAATAGCGTATAGCGTTGTGATGAAAAATACAATTCCACTGCATTTAGAATGCAAAAGATCTTTCAAATACGCGACTACGTGAAATATTAAATATTAAATTTTTTGTTTTGTATCACGTATATATAGAATATTAATATATATATATATATTACCTACTATTTCACGCACGTTTACCAATAAATAAACGTGGTATGTATACGTCACGACGTACGTCACCCCTGATTACATTTACAGTTGTACGTTTGGATAGCGGACGTTTTGCACGAACGAACCCTTGTCTATTGAATCGTTGTCACCATAGAAATAATATGAGTAGTTATACATTTCTACGGTTGTTATAAAGAAAAGCCTATAGACAGTTTCGCTTAATTAATTAATTAATTGATAACGGCAGAGGACATAAATTATGATAATTCACCCAATTAACTGCCTGATCGATTGTTTTGTGCTGATAATAGGTTTGTCCTGCTATGAGCAAAACGGCAGGTGTCAATGTGTCCATCATGTGCCATCAGACAATGGTAAGCCAATGGTCTAGCTTGCTGTGAAGCTCAAAAGTACAAACGAAGACACTGAACATGTGTAGATCACCAATGTGTCAATAAAAATAAGACAATGACGTTACCACGAGGTGACGTTTTTGAAGCTATGACAAATAAATAACCGATCCACTCATTGCAATTCAATCTATTCACCAACATGCTTTGAAAACAACGGATAGTGATACGGTTAGCTTTGTATGGAATCATAACTGTTTTGACAGTATGAAAGTATTGCCGCGAAAGGAAGACACAAATATGCACTTATCCAGGGCCGTAGCCTCTGGGGGGGGGGGCAAGGACGGCAGCTTATAGCAGCTAGGGTCACTTATCCATGGAAGCCTCGTCTCAGACACACCCTTACCACACTATGGACGTCGATCAAGAACTGCTCCCGTCGCTCATCATTACAGTTGTCATAAAATTTTGCCCCCCCAGAAATTTGCTCAGCCTACGGCCCTGCACTTATCTAACTACAGTACAGGAAAAACACGCTCTGATTATATAAACTCACCAACACGAACAATATTCACAGAATTGTAATCAGGTTTATTTTCTACTTAAAATTTTACCTCGATTCTGCACACGATCTCCATTCTACAGCCCATCTGTAGACCGACTGTCCCTAAATCGTGATGGACGTATGACACACTATAACCATACCTGCACTTTACATAATATATATTCTCTGACCTAATACAATAATTATTTATTCTGTACTATCATATCCATAATAAATCTCTATATCTTACACAGTTTTCTCAGACGAATTCTCTACTACTACGTATAGTCACTAAAAATATCAGTCGCCCCGATATGTATCATGACCAGAAAAATTGTGTCACAGTCCTTGTCTTCGACAGGATAGTGAAGCAGGGGCACTGGCAAGAGAAGGAGGAAGGAAAGGAAAAATATGTGTAGTGCATACACGAAAACCTTTCAATCTGGGTGCATTCTGAGCGCGTGATATACCAGGAAAGTTGTATCAAAAACTCTTGACATGTCAAACAGTTTTGTATGGCATAAACAATCAGTCTATCCTTATAGGAAGAAATAAATTCAGTCACAAAAACAAATTGGCGAAAAGAACTATTATTTACAAGAACAGATATAGCTCTACATGGAGTTACTAATAGCCTGTTCGGGCACAGGGTGGTGCATTGACGTATCCAAACACGTTAAACTCAATCAGGCACGAGAAAACTAAGAACACCACATAGACTACCAAGAGACCAAAGCCAAGCTTCCTGTCCAGCTTCCATTTGTTGAAATGTATGCTTCCGATCTGCGAAGAAAACCAGGGTATGAAGGTTATATCCTGCAAAATTTCACATCTACCTGCGACAACGGCACTTCTTTAGTTCGAAAGTATATGCGATGTTCTGGATCAGTCAAGACCAAGCATCTCACAAAGGAAATATCTGAATAAATTCCAGCTGACATGATCGACGTACCACATTATTTACCTCCAAATGTTTTAGATAATGCACCGTGATATTTACTTTTTGGGTACTTAATTGCATACATGATAATATATGTCTGACTAACTGAATCTTTGTGATCAGCGACACAACGTTTCTCACTTGATATTTTGTAAATCAAAACTGATCATTTGTGTACTGCATTACTGTTTGTTACATGTGCCTTTATTCATGAACCAATTACTATTCAAGGGCTTGTTATTATTCATCATTTTCGTAAAATGATACTTACCGTAACAACCACTGTTCCAAATAACAGGATTACTGAGTACACGAGGCCATTACTGTTAATGTGCACCTATAAAACACAACGAGAAATAAACATTATGTATACACTTATTTTATAATATCACGAGGAACTTGTAACGACCTTATTATAGATACCTATACATAACATTTTATTAGTCAGATAAAAAACTAATAATAAATAAATACACTAATGCCCCATTTTCCTAAAGAAATACCTTCCAAAAACATTCGAAACGCTAAATTACTTGATAAAAAAATAACATGAATCACGTCGTTTAATGTGGTCTTGCAAAATGTTATTCGGCCAAAATAAGAAGGTAATCACCCCCACCCCAGTCTCCCCTAATGAATGCAAAGTAAAAATTAACAGACATATATTGATTATTTAATAATGTAACACGGGAATGGTAGCTCAGAATAGAGTGCTGCTTCTAGACTACACTGGATGCATGGCACTGATTGTCAATTAATGCACAATTATGAGTGCAATTAATCTTTCACAAACACGTATATATGTTGATTGTTTAACAACGTTACAAAGGAGAGGAAGTTATGAGTAGAAACCACGGTTGCCTACTCTGAAAATATGTGAATTTACGTTTGGTATTGCGAGTGAAGTGGGCATAATTTACAAATGATATACGAGAGAGTTTACGTAGATCTTAGTTGCTTTAATGCAGAGTATTACTGTACAATAATCAAAACTGAAATATAATTATTACAGGTACAGGGCCGTAGACTGAGCAAATTCCTAGGGGGGGGGGCAAAATTGTATGACTCAACCGTGTAATGATGAGCGAGAGGCGCAGCTCTTGATCGACATCCATAATGTGGTAGGGGTGGGTCTGAGACGAGGCTTTCACGGATAAGTGACCAAAAACATCCCGTTAGGGTTATTTACGATTATTAGATAAGCTTTTTTTTTAAATTTTGCTCCAAAATTTAGGGGGCCCCCTTGCCCCCCCCCCCACCGGCTATGGCCCTGAGGTAATACCTACCGTCTCTCCAGATGATACTATAGCTGTCTTTACGAACCAGGGTAAAGCTAGGCCTAGCAGAATGTCAAACACATTACTGCCTATACTGTTAGAAACTGCCATATCACCTAGACCTGTAATTACAACAAAAAATACATTATTATACTTACCCTAGAGCAAGTTAAAGAGAGATACAGTCATTATTCAAGGAGTGCTTCCACCACGCCCTATCAGGTTGTGCTACCAATTCATTAGACAGGTATATTGGTTCATTGTCAATTTTATATAGGAAAACGATTAGGAATAAAGCTACTAACATGGCTTGTAGGAGGTTGCTGAAGGATATGAGTCTGATTGGTTGAAAATTGATTGATTTAGATCAACGGTCACCTATAGTGTGGTGTTGTAGAATGATACGTTGTCATGAATCTTTGACCTTTAAACATAAGCAGCTGTCTCTGAACTACGAATCTATGTAAGAGGTACACTGAGGAAAGACCTGTGCATGATGTCTACTGAATAAGAAACTCAGTTGATAGAATGGCCTAGAGGAGAATTAAAGAAGACAGTGCAAATGCAAGCAAGACAGAGAGCTATTGTCTAAGTTCCATTCTCCATACGGAGCCAGGAAGACCAGCACAATTGTAGCGTGGAATATCGTATCGTAGCCAGTAGAACGCAGATAGTAGAAGTAACACTGACAGTGGAATAAACGGTGGCAACTACAGGTTTATTCTAAACACGGATAAAACAATACACATACCAGTCAGCTGCCCGTGGACGTCTCTCCCATTCTACCCAAAACCCCTGTGTTTTATCCGTCTCTGTCCCCCCCTCAACCTGTCCTTGTTTAGGGTCGAGGTCGTTGTACCCCTCGAACGGTCGTGAGAACCGTCCGAGGTACCTCCCTTAATGACTATATCGGCCATGCCGTCTTTCAACGTTAATTTATATGCAGCTCTTAAGTAGGCAGTTAATGTCTGGTGGGGCCATCGCCTGCTGTCTCTGACCGATTGTATAGGTGGTGTGTCGAATTCCCCATGTCTCTATCTCAATGCTAAAACACCGTACTACACAAGTGTGAAACAGCATGCATGTATCTGCGATGTATGTGTACCTTGCTTGGCTACGATCAGGCTGGCCATGCCATCTGGGATGCTGGTGCCAGCAGCAAGGAAAGTGATACCCATGATGCTGTCGGGTATGTGAATCGTGTAGCCTATGATTGCCACCTGTAACATCGCATGCAAGGGGAATCATTTGCTGAGTCAGTTCGTTTATAAGTTTATAGTGAGTACATATTACTCCATTTAAAATGGTATTTCGTAGTGTATTGCAAATTGTCACACGCACGCACGCACGCGCGCACCGCCGCACACACACATTAATTAATACAGAAGAAGATGTTATGTTAGGACACGGACCGCCATAGGTGGGAAGGCGGGCATGGGGGCAGTCCCCCCCCCAAGAAATGTAGTTACATAACATAGTCAATGGCAGTCACCTTCCCAGAACACAACCCTCACGTGACTTTACACCTCCCTCCAGGCAAAATGAGTCAGCTATACGCTCGTGTATGAGGAGAATGTTAAGCAAAAGTCATATCTGAGATTATCTGAGGAAAACACGATTTGTGTGCACCCAAATCCTCACATTTCTCTAATACACATTTAACACAGAAAGGTGGAGAAATTTAACAGGTGGAACTGTGTAGTTTCACAGACTAAATGGGAGAGTTGACTGCCATGTATTCAAGTGCTTACTGACTGCTTAATGCCTTCATATACCACTTATACCACGATGTGTGAGAAGAGAGTCACCACCACTCACCATCCACACCATGACGTAGGAGAAGACGGCTATCCACACTATGGACATTGTGAATGTCACAAAGAACCAACGCTCCCATCTCTGCTTGCGACAGTCAGGCACAGACACGTAGAAGAGGCATTGTAGAGGCAAGAATAGCACCCACTTTAAGACGGCCACACACCCATCAGCTGCAAAAAACAGAATTTTATCCAGGTCAGTTTTGCTTCATAATTCTCTTTCATAAAGACTAGACGACTACAGCTCAATGTACTATCAGACGTACAAATAAAAAAAAGTAGCTCAATGACTATCAGTGTATTGGCTAGTTGCGATGAGGTATAACATTTTAAACACGTTACAATGGATAACTCCAGCTAGCACAGGTTATATCATATATTGTGCTTAGACGCAGTGGCATGTTGGTAGAGTGACATACTTTGTGTCACACTGCAGCAATAATATATGTGCATATTATGGATGCTGCAATGCAATGAACACATACGACCTAATATGTTCACACAATTCACATATTCAAACTGTTGTGCATTTGACAATTAACGTTCCCAAAGTCAGCGAGAGCTTTTGCTTTCAGCTGTTAATAGGATAAATACCATAACAGATGTCTATACTAGCAGCCACTTGCAAATTTCCAGTGGTAATATTATATGTGCATCACACCTGTGGGGGGTCCCTTTTTCCAGTCGTCAAACTCCTCCTGTTCGTCTTCCTCTGTCTCTGGCCTGCAAACACATAACAAACACAAACTCAGCCTAATAACTGAATCGCTTTACGGTTATAAATGGAACAGTCATCACATTTTAATATTTGCCGTCCACGTCACTCGCATTATCTCGCTCAAAATTTGCCGAGAAATTAAATAGCATGTGGGATGGCAAGATTTAAGCATACGTTCACACGTTCACACGTTCACCAGTATATCATCATGCATAAACATCTTTATCACCTGTCAGAGCCCGTTGTTAGAGTGAAAGGGTACGGGGGCTGGGCTACCTTGTTTAGATGAAAAGTTAATTTCAGAACTTCAGTGTTCATGCTTTGAATGCACGAGATCCCTATTTGAGAGGCAATTTATCAGCATCTCAGCTATATCTCAGCTATAACAGTTATTTCTACAAATTGTTTTAACACCACCCACTTACATACAGTTTACATGTTACGGCCCTTAGCTATGAATTTTCACTTTAATCACTCAATTGCACCCAATTATTGGTCGACTTCCAACCAAGACTTGAGAACCGAGTGACTACATCTGGTAGCACTGTGAACATAAGGCCATGCACTATCCGAATATTATCATATATATATATATATATATAATATATATATATATATATATATATATATATATATGATATATATAACTGGGTATCCTGGGTGGAGAACATGCCAACAATTACTCACGCTCCGTGTGCGATGTTGATGTAGGACGGTGAGAACGCGCCGCTCAGGCTCAGATAGCTCTTCGTGATCTCGTGCTTCAGAGCGCGGTTGCTCTTCATTATCGCCCCGATGCTGCTATTCATGCTCATCTGAGACTGGTTTATCGTCGACGATCGCTGCTTGTTCAGGTTGTCATCGCGCTTCTTCTGCTGCTGCAGTGACGGATAAAACCCACGCTGACGCACGACGGTATCAGCAGCAGGGAGGAGGATGAAAGGATGAGAAGTGCGATAGGTGAGCGAAGAGGAGAACCACAAGGATCGCCATGGGGGAGACAAGAGGGGAACCACAAGGATCGCCATGAGGGAGACAAGAGGGGAACCACAAGTATCGCCATGAGGAAACCATACGGGGAGCCATGAGAGGAGACATGGGGGGATACATAGGGGGAGACATGAGGAGAGCCATGAGGGGAGACATAAAGGAACCCATGAGAGGAGACATAAAGGAACCCATGGGAGGAGACATAAAGGGAGATATGAGAGGAGCAATGGGGGGAAGCCATGAGGGGAGCCATAAAAGGAGATAGGAATGGAGCCACGAGGGTAAACAATAAAGGGACCCATGAGAGGAGCCAAGCGAGGAGCAATGGGGGAAGCTATGAGAGGGCTTTTCGAAAACCATGAGGGGATCCATGAGAGGGCCATGAGGGGCAGCAATGAAAGAAGCTACGAAAAGAGCCACAAGGAGAGACATAAGAGGAGACATGAGGGGAGGGGGAGACATAATGAAAGAAAATGAGAGGGAATATATTGCGAGCCACTTAGGATGGACTTGTACGTGAAACCCATGTGTATTAATCGTTTACCGGAGCACTCTTAAGCCATATATATTGTTCCGATCATTAAAATATTATATCACGGGCAAAAATACTTTTGTGTTGAATTCAACATGTTTTAGCATGTTCATGAATGGATGAGTGCATTGTTTTTGGTCGATGATAATTGGCAGAAAAATAAAAGAAGTAAAATTTAATATATGCATGGTCTCTGTTCGTTGCCACACTCTTAATCAAATCACACCTCTTGAATGATGACTCTAGTCGCCATTTGCAAACGGGTTTTGGCCGAAAACTGTTTTCCCAGCATAAGTTTTGTTACAGCCTCAGGATATTCCAACCTGAAAAACACCACATTGCTAACTAATAGTATATCAAAAGAGACTGCAGTTTAAAAGACCCTAAAATGATTAAACATCACTGTATCTTGGAAAAGTCAAGTTGCTTTAATCCTGCCTATCATTTAGTGAATAGAGATAAGCATATACTTTACATAGTGTGATACCACCTACTAAAATAATGCAAAAAACATACAACACTAGGATTAACTAAATATTAAGTAATATTTCTGATGGTAGAATGATGGTGTAAACATCATGTGTCTATATATAATGTTATATCCATGACTTTGCGACCCTAAGTGTAAACAAGGGTTGGACCATGATAAGATATGCAGTTACATTATCTTATATAAATAAGTAGACTATAAGATGATAACCCACCTGTGCTGTCTTTGATATTCCAAACTGGTTGCACTACTGCGTCGTTGATTCAGATATCTTTGTATCGCCTCCTCCCTCTCCGTTCCAGACTTCCTTCTTACTACTTTATCCATTTGCACCATGGGTACGGATATCTCTATGGAGTTTCTCTCGCCATTTTCCTCCTCGTAAATTGTGCGTACTAGTTAACAGTAAAAACAGAAAAACATGAATATATGTGACAAATAGGCCCCCAATTTGTAATAATCTCAAATACTTCTAATTTCCATGTCAACATGTCACCTAGCTTAAGCTGATTTTACACTACCGACTTTATGTTGGCGAATTGGCGAGTTGGACCAATTTCGCAATTCGGCAACTCCCGAGTATAGAACATGTTCTAATCTCCCAACTAGTTGCTATCGATCGGTTGGTCGTGCAACTTTTGCGTTTACACTGCTAATTGTTGGTTGTATAGTTAGGAAGTTGGTCCAATTCGCCAATTCGCCAACATAAAGTCGGTAGTGTAAACCCAGCTTAAGGTGATATGTTGACATGGCAGGTGGTAATTAGGTGAGAGATAATCAAACATGGGAATCACATATCTATGTGCATGAAATCATTCAAGCCAGCCAAAAATTCACATGTAATCACAATAAAATGATTAAAAAAGATCCTTTCAAATCAAGTCTTAACCATTAATTATAATGTGTGAACTTTTAAATATCAATTCCACGACTACTATGGGATCAAGTCGAATAGCAATGGAAAGCGTTTTGCTTGCAAAAATTCAGCATGACACGTCTATTGACATAGTGTGTGTGCTGTGGTGGTGGGCTCACCGTGCTCTGGTAAGCCAATTGAGTGTGTATCCACATGATCCCCGTGTTCTTCATGCTCCTTCTCTACTTTCCGCTGCGCCATTTTCCACACAATTTTCGAGTTAAATCTGTGAATGTATAACATATATATACATATATAGACCACAGATATCATATGTAATACTAGGGTGTGCCCGTATTATCTGTGTTTGATAATGAGATACATTTATAATTTTATATTTTGACCATATATCAGTAATGACAGAGAAACTAACTAACCACAAATGCAGATAAAGAACTGGCCTCAATGACATATTAATCTCATTAAAACTTACTTTTAATACCGAACCCATAAATGTATGAATTTCGTTACGACTGTTATTGTGCTGACTTTACATAATGTAAGTGCAAATAATGATAGTATTTATTCAACAGTACTCACTTCATAATGACAATATAGATGGCATACATGACTAGCATAATAACAGATTCATACCAGGTGACTTCCCCATTGAAAATTACCTGAAATAAAAAGTGTTACAAAAATACATGACAAATACATGTTACAGTATATCAACCATGTATATGTTGTGCAAGTGTTTATTACAATACTCATATAATTCCTATAAATTTCTCCAAGCAACTGAATAAAACAGAGATGTTGGTAATATGGTATATCTCAAAAATTTGCCATGAAACTATACTAGAAGCATTGTGTGTACAGCACCGTTTAACACTGTCAGAAGAACCCCAGAAATATTGAAAAAATATAAGATTGGAATAGAGTACAATTGTACCTGACATTTTTTTACATTTGTGTATGTTATCTTGATATTTTTTGTGCCTTCACAGTGCCACCTTGTGTCAATAAGTCACTAAACCCTCTATCACACATTCATAGTAACACCATCCCATGAATATAAACATACTATTAATGCATGGTTATAAGGAAAACTTACTGAAGCCCCCAACACTGCATGTTGTACGTGCGCATGCATGATAGTGGGCACGCGTGCTAGTATATGGGGGCGTGTGTGCTAGTATATGGGGGCGTGTGTGCTAGTATATGGGGCGTGTGTGCTAGTATATGAGGGCGTGTGTGCGAGTATATGATGGCATGTGTGTGTATACTCACCACAATAAGAATCACAATAGCAAGGCTGTAATAGCTTGTATCTCTAAACAGTGGCCACCACGTTAATTCCACTACCTGTAAGTAGAGGTGAACAAGTGCATTAGATTCGAAACGACACATACATACGCACACACATGCACCAAGGTGTGCACAGACGCACATACACGCACACACGCATGCACATGCACAGACATAAAAACAAGCACACACACGCACGCACGAGCACACACACACATACATACAGGCCCTCACACACACACACGTTTGTTCAATATATAAATGTATCACTGTCATAGCCTTTGCATTGAAAATTTACTGCTAACTCTCAGGTATCTATTACATGGCATATCACAGAGACTACCAGCAGCAAAAGCATTATGACTATACACGGAAGAAGAAGGTTACGGTACCATTCCGGCAGCGATGCCACATAGGCCAATGATAGCCAGAATGTTGAATACGGCTGAGCCAACTATGGTCCCTACTCCAACATCTCCTTTGGCTATAAACACACCTAGTGCAGAAAACGCAGAGATATATCCCATGATAATAACGATTTGATTGTTTGTGAGCGAAATTTAGCTTTTCTAGGTTAATAATAACAAGAGCTAATAAAACCTAGAGTGTACAACGGAAAAACGGGAAAATAGTGCTATTTCACGACATGATTATTCTACTTTGCCTGCGAGTCTAGAATAATTTTATGGTATTGCATTAAGCAGAATTCTTTGCTCTCTAAAACAAGACCAACCGCTTGTCAATACGATACTCCTAGGCTGAGATATTGGCTCGTAAACTTCTACTCCCACATGCCTCACAGCGCCTCGCATACACATTATTCACCATCCTTCTCGCCTTTTGCGGGTTAGGAAAGTCGCTTCGTGAGAGTCCAGGTTTTTCTGCGATAACTTTATGAATGAACGGCGTTTCGGTTATCATTGGTGACTTTCGGGGGCATCGCCTATGCCCTTATCTCCCATTATCTTTCCTAGCACGGCTAATGCCCGTCATGATGGAGCCGGCAATGTTTTCTAAATTAAGTCTCTACAACGCAGCTCAGTTACTATATGGTGTAGTAAGAGTACCAAATTTGGGCATGTGACATCAATTATCAGCGCTCCAAGCGGCGACAGAAACCGATAGCCAAAATGCTTCGGGGCGAGAAGGATGGTGAATCATGTGTATGCTAGGCGCCATGAGGCCTGTGGGAGGAGAAGTTTACGAGCCAATATCTCAGCCTGGGAGTATCGTATTGACAAGCGGTTGGTCTTGTTTTAGAGAGCAAAGAATTCTGCTTAATGCAATACCATAAAATTATTCTAGACTCGCAGGCAAAGTAGAATAATCATGTCGTGAAATAGCACTAATTTCCCGTTTTTCCGTTGTACACTCTAGGTATTATTAGCTCTTGAAAATAAGTATATTGACATTTTAGGATTTGCTAACCGGATAAGATTCAAATATTTAAAATTGCACATTCATCCAAAACCTCCACTCCATACCACAAAGAAATTTATCAAGAATCATAATGAATATCTGATGATGACAATATAAATTTGTGAATCAAAATAAAATAATTCTTGCCTATGATAGAGGTGAAAAGTTCTGGTGCGGAACTTCCAGCTGCCATAAACGTTGCCCCGGCAACATCCTCTCCTATGTTCAACCTCTGTAAAATGGTAAAAACCCATCACATATTTCGCATTCCGAAACCCACTAAGGTAGTGAGACATTGAATCTAATCAAAACAGATTTGATTCAATGTCTCACTACATTTGACGGTTTGAATGCATAGTATCTAAAATATGTTACAATTTAAATACATGCAAATATAAATGGTAAGTCTACATGAAACTAGTAAAGTCACCTATCGTTACATACACTTTTTATGTATTACAGTGTTACTAATATCCTACGTAATGTGTGACATAATGACTAAACTATCTAGGAATTAAGTATGTTACAACGAGCTCGTGGAATACTATAGGTTTGTCAATTGTATCACTATATATAGGGCTGCCTTATAAAATAATAATATAATACTAAATAAAATAACCCAGCATTTTAAAAAGTTGTCCAATACAAGGCACACCATTAAAAACACCTTAATAAAGGCATAGGCTGTGTAGGCTCACCCACCGAGCATATCTTCTCTAATGATGATACAAAGTAGTCATCGCAGATGATCGCCAGGCCGAGGAACATGTAAATGGTGACGAGGATGTGTAGGATGATGGCCCCGTGTGCGCGTTGCTGCGCCGTTAAGCCATCGTGAGGAAACTCCTCATATGCTGACGACGAAAGCAAGACCAACTGTTGACCGCAAGCCTCGCTAAATTCACCCACCAGTATGTTTGAGCATATCGTATAAACCTGGGGGCCGTTGTCAGTAACATCGTGAAGTTAATGCTAATGTTGAGACTAATTTCGTTTCTGACGACGGCCCCCCTGTCTACATTGTTAACTAGGTAGAGTACTTTGCCTGATACATGGTTGTGAGACCGACATTCTAAACAGACCCATGTCCGTAAATTTGAGATAGTGGGAGACCTTTATCTGTGTGACATGCTTCTGATATTGAGATAGGTAAATCCCACGTGAATATACTATTGGTAATACTAGTGCTCTTGTACCAACGTGTCACCAAACGTGCGTTCGATTCTACCACCAAACAGGTTATCCTCAAGTTACGGTAAGGTTTTATATACATAACCCCACATACATTACATTTTTTCCAAAATGTTACAACCAACTAAATCGTATAGACGTACTCATCAAGACTGTCAAATTATTTCAGAAATGTGTATATATTAAATTCGCGTAAATCAAGACTTAGTGCTATCAGGGGTGAATAACGACATTCATCAAATTTGTCACTATTCACCCCTGGTGCTACGAGTGTCAATCAGCAGGTTGCCAGGTGGTTTACTTTACCTGGAAGGGAGCATTCCTCACTGTCATTGCTCGTCCCGTTCTGTGACTCAACCATCCCCATCAACTCCTTCTCGATCTCGGAGACGTCGGCCTTTACCCAGGTCGGGTAATCCTCCGTGGTCTCCTGCTCATGAATCACGTGCAAACGTCATTACAAACTCTCCGACATATAACACACAAATAATGTATATAATAATATATATATATATAAACATTCATATTCGACTTCCCTCAACCATTGCATGCACACACCAACCACGACTCATTCCATGCACACCCCAACCCATATACCCTCTCCCTCTGCATGCAAATATCTGCTATTGCATGCATATCAGCAGAAAAACATGAATAGAGATTCATAGACTATTCATGTACTATATTAATATGACTGCCAACCTACTGCATGCATATCATCGCACAACTTATGGCACGCATGGTACCGCCCAAGCTATTGCTTTCACAAACCCCCACATCAAACAACTGCATGCACACCGCCTAGAGACAATAATGTAACCCAACAAGAGTAGGGGGGGGGATGTAACCCTACTCTTGTTGGGTTACATTATTGTATCTAGCACACCCCATGCTTAACCATAGCATGCACGTCTTTCGGCCACACCCATTGCATGCACAATCCCCACCCACAACTAACTGCACAATCCCCACCCACAACTAACTGCACAATTCCCACCCACAACTAACTGCACAATCCCCACCCACACTGACTGCACAATTCCCACCCACACTGACTGCACAATTCCCACCCACACACTAACTGCACAATCCCCACCCACAACTAACTGCACAATTCCCACCCACACACTAACTGCACAATTCCCACCCACACACTAACTGCACAATCCCCACCCACAACTAACTGCACCATCCCCACCCACAACTCACTGCACCATCCCCACCCACAACTAACTGCACCATCCCCACCCACAACTCACTGCACCATCCCCACCCACAACTAACTGCACAATCCCCACCCACACACTAACTGCACACTGACACTAACCTGGGCAATGTTGTTCTCTTGTTGATCATCGTTGCCCTTCTGCAACAGCCGTCTGCCTGCTGTTAGATCGCTCCTACTGGAGTCAATCCGATGTTCTTGTTGCTTGGAGTAGCCAGCTAGAATGTTCACAAGATTCATTTACTGTAGAGATACGTAGGCACTGTGTACAAACAAACCAGGCAGAAGCAATTACTGTAGATACATCACTGGATTGTATAATATAGATATCATACATATAGATTAGATACATATAGATCTATATTATACACTCCTGGAGATATGAAGGCACTGTTTTTAAGCAAGCCGGGCAGAAGCAACTTGTAAACAAAATAGCAAGGCCGATGAAAACGCTACAACATACACGTATCATGATCAGCGGAGTTATAACCAGTTCTCAAATTCTATTAGTATTAGGCGTGTCGTGGGTCGCACTATTTCGTAACAAGTGCCGCAGAGCGACAGCGCTCACCTGACGGCAGGTGTTCTGATGCTAAACTCACTGGCAAACGAATCAAGAGCACCCTCCCATCGCCACGTTCGCTTTCCCTCGTTGTCTCTCTCATTCTTTCTCTTTCGCTCTCTCGCTCTTGCTCTCTCTTCCCTTCGCGCTCTCTCTCTCCCTCTCTCTCTCTCTCTCTCTCTCTCTCTCGCTCGCTCACACTCACTCTCCCTCATTGTCGCTCTCTTTCTTTGTCTTTGTCTTTCTCTCTCTTTCTCTCTCTCTCTCTCTCTCTCTCTCTCTCTCTTCCTCTCTCTCACGCTCTCTCTTTCTCTCTTCCTCTTGCTCTCTCTCTCCCTCTCTCTTGAGTTCTCTCTTTCTCGAGGCGGTAGCGCTGCCAGACGAGGCTGTGCGACTGATTGTCTATAGACTCTATACAGATGTCTGATTGTCTATCAGACTGATTGTCTGATGGTCTTCTAACCCTAGCAAGACCGTTTCGTGGAGCTAGCAAGGCGGTAACGTTTTTATATAACTTCACATAAATGTTTATATTGTATGTTAATTCGGGCGGCAGCCCATGTTTATACTATGTTAACTCGGGTTTCCCAGCAGCGGCCAGCGATGGTAGAAAATTATGCAAAATTGCTCTAATAAGCTGCTTGTCAGGCGGACAAGCTACCGGACAGATCTACTTGTCCTCCGTGGAAATGGACAAGTACGGACAAACGAATTGCCCTTATTTCGAACATTGCGATGGTATCAGAAACCTTCTCGAAGAAATGTTCGTTGGGATAGTTATGAAAGTTGCCACAAGATGGCGCGTACGTTTGAATGTCTTAAGATGGAAGCTTCCATCATACGTAGTATAGCAACAACTATTTGCAAGACAGAATAGGTAAGCACTCATCCATTTACCTACGCAAGCCTACAGGCTGAAATGAGAGTGAATTGTTAATAATTAAAGGCATACCTACCAGTACCACACCATGAATTGGCAGTGGATAAGTTTAATGTAAAACATGACCAGTACAGAATGCCATAGAAATTATAAGATTTAAGGAGACATAACCTTCTTCAACAATTTAGCTTTTGGAAATTTCACTGTGACATTGTTAGCCTTCATCCGAACTGTATAGTTCTACTTTGCAAACCCGGACAGTCAAATATTTTTTACAGTAAACACATCAATGTTTACCTCCTCTTGCAGGGTCAAAGGTTTCCGACTTAATTTCTTGTGTCAGCAGAAAGTGATTTCCAATTGGTCTATTCAATAAGCCATAAAATGCTAGGTCACCCTGAAACAAAGTTTTTCATCGGTCATCAGACCATCGTCCTCAGGAAAAATGTCTAAATCTGCAGTGAGCCATGACCTTTGACCTTGTGACTCAATTTCGGCACAGTTGATGTTTCTACTGATGCTTACCGATATTTCGAGCCTAGGCGAGCGGTTAGATTTGTGCCACAATTTCTGCATTTCTCCCTATATTAAGTTTAAGGAGTGAATGTTCCCCCCTTTTTTAAACCTCTTGACCTTTGACCTTTGACCCCCAGCTTCGACATCCCAACTCGTTTTCGGATTACCCCCCCACGTCCCGAATATCGTGACCGTACGTCGAGCCGTTTAGATTTGTGCACAACTGTGGACGGACGCACGGATGCACGGACGCACGCTCATGCGATTCTACAAGCTGCCTCTGACTATGTCAGATGAGCTAAAAATGCTGGATCCACTATTTTGATTTAAATTTCACCCCTTCCCATCAAAATGCATATTTCTAATGCAAGAAGTGTTGTTAGATTTGTTCTTCATCTTTTTCATTTTTGAAAACGATCAGGAACCCAATCTAACCACAGGTGGTGGGTGTCACACTATTCCAGATATTTCTACAGTGACATTTCTCCTTTAATAATCTGTGAATCACCCCATTTCCAAGCCCCTAAACCACATGCTTTCAAAGCTATACTTCAATAATGTCCACAGCCAATTAAGGATATCGTAATGTAGAGGTCGAAATTAACATATTTCTCCTTTCCCGAAAGCGGATCTGCCATCTAAAATGGTGAAATAGGTATGCAAGTAACTACATACTCTGGGGGAAAAAAGAAAGGGATCCCCATTTCTATCACATCAAGGGGATATTTTTATCACCTACTCGCTCAAAGAGCTATTTTTATCGGCTATTCGCGTAGGGGGCTTTTTTTATCACCTACTCGCTCGGTACTTCGCCGTTACATCGCGAATAACAACGCTAAGCACGTGAGAAAACACGTGAACGGGTGGCTAAAGTTGTTTTTTTGCACCTTGCTCATCTTTTACGGAAATGTCACCACGTGCCGCCCTGCTCGTATAACTTTGCAGGAGAACAAAAAATAGAATTTCTATCTTAATTTCGAGGCCTGCAGCCTTTCATAATATATTTAATATTGTGCTGAAAGCTACACTTAGGAGCCGACGGGAGTTCCTGCTTGCTTCTGCCAGGCACACATCCTGATGAGTCAGACTGTTCATCACATGATCATCCAGGGGGAGAGACAAAGAGGGAGAGAAAGATAGAGAGACAGAGAGGGAGAGAGAGGCAGAGGGAGAGAGGGGGGAGAGACACAGAGAGAGAGAGAGAGAGAGAGAATGAGAGAGGGGTAGAAAGACAGACAGAGAGAGAAAGAGAGACATAGAGAAAGAGAGAGAGAGAGAGAATAAGAGAGACACAGAGAGAGAGACAGAGAGATGGGAGCAGAAAGAAGAGTGGATACATCACCAGCACATGATCATAGAAAACGCATCATATGCATCATAGAAAACGCATCACATAATCATAGAAACCTAAGAACAAAATTTTCGTCACTTTTCCTTTTCGGGCTCTTTTCTCATTGATTTAATGCGAACCGACGCTCATCCACTCGCTATCAATGTTCCTACTTGTAACTTGACCTGGGTGCCCGTGCAACACAGGTATGATTAACCATGTATAACAGAACTAAACAAAGTGACTGACAGGATGCATATCTGCATGTAGATTTAGGTTACTGAAAATCGTGCCGATGGAGATTACACAGTTATTCGAAATTATACTCCCGCGTAAATACCTCAAAATATCGAATTTAGGACAAGATACCAAAAGATGGAAATCAGTGAGCAAGTATCCAAGTGACGGACTGAGTGCTGTTTCTGTACATCACTAGCACGTATGGGCAGCTTTGTAGGTTATAGAGACAAGGGTGGGAGAAGAAGGGAGAAACAGGAAAACTGAGTAAATAATAGTAAAATGTAAATAGAATAAGAGTAATAAGAGTAATAAGAGTAACATGTAAATATAATAAGAGTAAAATGTAATATAATAAGAGTAACATGTAAATATAATAAGAGTAAAATGTAATATAATAAGAGTAAAATGTAATATAATAAGAGTAAAATGTAAATATAACTAGAAAAGGCAGTTGTCGCCAACTACATGTATCAATTTTCGTTAGTACACATTTACAAATACAAAACGGTCAGGATAAGTTTACAGCAAATCCAATTTCTAAATTCCATTGTTTCATCATCGATAAGGTTGTAGAAATCACAATTTCTACGAGTCAGGAGTGCAATAGATAAAAACCTACATTCAGATTTGTCATTGATAATTTTTAAAAATCAGCATTAAAATATAAAGACTAATGATGAGCTTTTGCATAATTTTGCATTTCACAACTATATCTGCATTCGTAAAACTAGAAAGGGCAGTTGTCGCCAACTACATGTATCCCCCCGTGTTCTCCCCAAGATGTGTAAGTATACGAAGTTTGGTCATGGTGCACAGCCTAGGGCAATTAGGGGGGCCGAGTTATCAGAGGGCAGAAGGAAATTATGATAAGGTAAGCGTCAAGGTCAATGTCAAAATAAACGATTGGGCGTGGAACCTGGTTTCGGTTACGCGGGAACAGGTCCCAAAATCTCGCGACCAAGATGTGTAAGTATAATATACCAAAGTTTTGGTCGCGAGGCTATGGTCAATTAGGGGCGCGAGTTATTAGAGGCGGAGAGGGAAATATGAATCAAGGTCAAAGGTAACAGGTCAAATAAAGGTTTGTAGTGACCTGGTTTGGTAGCGTACAT